CACGCCCGCAAACTCCGCCTGCTTCTCGGGGCGGGGCTTGCGACGATCCATGCGGAGGCCGCAGGTGGCTCGGAGACCGTTAACCGCTGTTGGGCGCGGCGGCAGTTCTGCTTTCTCCCGCCGCCGCACCAGTCTTCCCCTTGGGGACTAGGGGCTAAAGCCCGAGCCTTCCGATCTCCGTGCACGGACAGCTAGCTGACTGGCCAGCGCCTGCAGAGTGAGAAAGTAGAGCAGAGTCCGAGGCAGCCCGAGCCCAACCCTGGGGAGACAGAGTCCAGGAGAAGACCTCGGCTGGTGCTGCTCTTAGCGGGTTTCAGGAAAACAGCCCATGCGTGGGTCCTGGGGCCTGGACAAACATGCACTTGGGAAGAAGGAACTAGGTCTTCATTTCTCTGGCCAGGAGATCGGGCTCTCAAGGAAGTGCAGAATGTGGAACACCATGTGTAGGGTTTTAAGGTTTTCAGAAAGTTGTGGGAGCCTGTGGGTGTCCTGATATTTCACACTTCGGAATGCCTTGCGTGGCAGAAAAGCGAAACTGTCAGGGAATCAGAGTTTCCACATTTCTTCATTAAATCACATTCTAAGAAGAAAGGACTTTATAATCTATTTGTTCGCTTTTTGATGCAGGGTCTCTCTGGGTAGTCCAGGCTGGCCTTGAACTCGTGGTGATCCTCCTGCCTCAGTCTCCCAAGTGCTGGGATTATAGGCGTGCACCATCACACTTGGTTTTCTTTAGGATTTTGCTTCTGCAATCTTTCTCCCTGTTCTCCAGTTTTTCTTTTACTCTGTGTGCGCATGAGTAAAATGAAAGGAGCTTTACTTCTACAATGGCTATACTGTATTTTCTCCATTTCTCTGCCAAACTTTCCAAACCATTGGCTGTCCTCTGATTTCTCAGCCTCTGGCACATCTGTTGCGTATTTGATGAATGAACAAATGCATGATCTCACTTTTATCTTTTCATTCACTTCACTCCAGACACACATGCCTTCTGGCTGTGCAACTTCACTGTGGCTTTCTAGTCTTTGAAACATGCCAGCGCAGTCCCACTTTGGGGCCTCTGGACGGCTTGTGCCTGGAGCGCTTTTCCTCAGATCTTTGCCTGGTCAGTAGCTCTCATCAGACACACACAAGCACACACACTCCCACACAACTTGGAGATTACTATTGGTCTCTTTTTCCAAGTTAGGTGCACTTTTAAAGTAAACTTTTTTAGGTGGGTGTGATGGTACACAACTGTAACCCCATTACTCTGGAGGCTGAGGCAGGAGGATCACTGTGAGTTTGAGACCAGCCTGGGCTCAACTACATAGTAAGACTCTCTCTCTCTCAAAAAAAAAAGTAAACTTTTTATTGAAGTATAATGTACACATAAAACTGCAAAAGTCATAAATGTACAGCATGTTAAACTTATAAAGCAAACACCCCTCGATAACAAGTGCATGCATCAAGAAACATTAACATCCTGGAAAGATTCCTTCTTGTTGCTTCTCAGTCACTATGCTCCAGTCAAAAGTCGAAGGTCCTGTGCTAGTGGTTCGCACGGGAAGGTGGGAGGTGTGCTGAAGAGTGTGCTGGAAGCCAGGAGACAGGCGTCCATGGCAAAGGTGAAGCCTGAAGATCCTCCAAAGAAACAGAAGCCAGAAGTGACCCTTCTTTTCTCCTCTTTTTATTCCCTTCGAACTACAGTTTCTTACTGAAGTTGACACAACAGTTAACTATCACAGTTGTATGAATTGTGTTCTTTAATTCTCATTTTATTTTATTCAGAAATAAGCAAAAGAGGCCGGGGATTTAGCTCAGTGGTGCTGCCGCCTGCCTTGCAAGTGCAAGGTTCCGAGTTCGATCCCCTTACCAAAAAAAAAAAAAAAAAAAAAAAAAAATCTGGAAAATAATGAATGTTGGATAGAACGTGGAGAAATTAGAACCTTTGGGCAATGTAAAATGGCATAGCTATTATGGCAAACAGTGTGGTGATTCCTCAAAAAATTAAAAATAAGCACATGATCAAACAATTCTCAGGTATATACCTAAAGTAATGGTAAACAGTGTCTTAAAGAGATATTTGTAGGCATGGTGGCTCACGCCTGTAAGGCAGAGGTGTAAGAGCCTGACTGAACCAGAGCGACTCCATGTTGACCAGCAAACGACCTTGAGACTGTCGCTCCCCCCATCCCTTACAGGATAACTAATGATTAATTGTGAATTGTTAGGTAACTGCTTTGAAGTAGCTGAGAAACTAAATGGAAACTATAGTGAACACAGAGATCCAACATGAATCACGCCACTCCTTACTTGCCTGTAGTTGAATGTTCTGAACATTATAATCTAAGTTGTAAATGGAATACTGGATAATCGATCTGCTGATCATTAGTACATGACGGTCAAGTATATGCTTGATGACCACTAGCTCAGATCAACTGATTCTTTGCCTTTGTCCTCTTCCTGTAAGTTTTAAGTGTAACCCCCCCCCCTTAGCCCTATATAAAATGGCCTCTGTTTCTGAGCTAGCTGCCTCTCTGAGCTACTTGGCTTGGGGAGTGCCATCTGGCCAGACTAATAAAGGTCTATTTGCCAACTTGCCTGGTGTGTTCCTTCCTGGGTGACTCTCGCTGTCCGACAAGCTCCTGGAGCCTCGCTGAGCTTCTGAGCCCGGCATCATGGAAGCCTCTTGGCTGTTCACGCTCCAGGAGTAAAAGTGAGACTTAAATCTTACAGAGGCAGGAGGATTGCCACGAGTTCGAGGCCAGCTTGAGCTACATCATGAGTTCAGGACCAGCCTGAACTATAAAGTGAGACTCTGTCTCAAAAAAACAAATAAACAAAAGATATTTGTACACTCACATCCACATCAGCATTGTTCAGGGCTGGGGAATTAGCTCAGCGGTTCTGCCGCCTGCCTTGCAAGTGCAAGGACTCCATTTCAATCCCCGTACCAGACAAACAACACATCAGCATTGTTCACAGCAGCCAAAAGAAGGAAGCAACTCTCATGTCCATTAACACATGAATGGATAAGCAAAATATTGCCTATACAGATAGTGGGTAAACCTTAACAACATTATGCTAAGTGAAACAAAAAAGACAAATACTGTATGAGTTCTTTTGTATGCAGTAGCTAGAGTAGTCAAATTCAAGAAATTTTCAGTTTTTCGAAACAAAAAGAATTCTGGAGATGGATGGTGATGATGGTTGTAGAACAATATGAGGTTTTTGTTTTTTTTTTTCTTCAGTACTGGAGATCAAACTCAGGACCTTGCGTTTATGAGGCAGGCACAGTGGCACTGAGCGAAATCCCCAGCCCCTGAATTATTTTTATTAGCATAGAACTGTACATTTAAAAATGAGTAAGAGGAGCCAGGCACGGTGGCACATGCCTGTAATCCCAGGACTTGGGAGGCTGAGGCAGGAGGATCACTGTGAGTTTAAGACCAGCCTGGGCTACATAGTGAGTTCCAGATCAATCTCAACTACATAGTGAGACCCTGTCTC